GGAAGTGTGTGTGTGTGTGTGTGTGTTAAGAGATACTTGTGTATGTACTATTATCACCAACCACCACAACAAACACTACCATCTACCACCATTATCCACCCACCACCACCATAATCCACCCACCATCGCACCACACCACCACACAGTAAACCTCTATCTTACTCAACCACAAGGAATTTAACTAAACTCAATGGAAAACCACACTGTGTAATGCACCGTCATACACATTCCGCTAATCTGGTCAAAAACTGTGAAAATCCTTTCCTTACGTGTGAGATATACGAGACCTTGTTTACATTAACCAGCCGAGAGAGATGGGGGAGGAGACGGTATTTAGTTTCACCTACCCTCCTTCTCCTTACTTAGTTTTGCGAAGAAACATTTTATAAAGGTGTTTCAGATTTCTGTGCAATGTTGTTGATGGCACAAATGGTCTTGATTTGTTGATTTGAAGGTAGTAATGCGGTAGAGAGATAGATTGGGTGGTGTGTGTGTGTGTGTGTGTGTGGGTGTGTGTGTGTGTGAGGTAGGAGAGGGTGAAGACCTTCTTGACGCTGGTGTTATCTCGAGTTTTGATGTGTGTTCACACGGTATATACATTCACTTACGTATACAGATATGGTACATATACACACACACACACACAATGCAATTTTATGAATGAGTTCATCTGCTGCAATGAATGATAAATTACTCGTAAACAAACAGATCTTATAACCTTATTTGTTTGTAAACAATTACAGGTAAATAAGTGTAAGGTTATCTAGTGTTCAATGTTTACTGAATCAGTTTTTATTGGGGAGTGATCCTTTAGTGTAATAATAATAATAATAATTAATTGTTTATTGAAGATTGGTAGCCAGAAGGAAAATATACAGTTGTTATTTGGGGAATGGGTGTGTGTATACCATGTCTGTATATGTAGGTGTGTATATAAAGGTGTGGTTGCAATTGGACGTGTGTGTGTGTGTGTGTTTTTAAAATAAAGGTATTCCTCCTCCTCCTGTCATTTAAGTGCTTGACTGTAAAATTGCCTGTGTGACTGTAAGATTGACTGTGTGACTGTAAGATTGACTGTACCTGTAATACAGTCCTCAAACGAACAAAATATAAAATTCCTTGGGGCTATTGTTGATGAGAATCTTAGCTGGAGAAACCACATGCTTATTCTACAGTAAAGTCAATAAATGTAGTATCATGTATCACACTAGATAGTCACTCACTTGCAGCAATGAAAGAAATTATTATAATCTGTTTGCCAACACCTGATACACTGTCACACAATTATGGGGGCTCTTGTTTCTTTAAAAACACAACTCTGATCACTGCACAGAAGAGAGTTGTGTGATAATGACCTACTTGTAAATAAACTGAACACCAAATTAACAAAGCTTAATTTGAAATGTTGAAATTGATGTATTAACACCTACTGTTTTGCCTTATTTGTTTATAAATCAGTAAATCACTTGATTGAGAATAATTATTTCGAGTAAAGTGAATAATCAGTGAGATACAACTATGCACCAGAGCTACTTAATTCTACGCGCGCTCTCTCAGTCCTGGACCCTAAATTGGTGTGAAGGTGAATAACTTACCCCACCCATATTCTTGTAATAATTTACTTTATATTCCTAATTAAATGTACCAATTAAACCATTATATCATATATTGTCATGTTAATAGAGAGAAATTATCATTGCAATAATTATAGTTTGCTGACAGACATGATACTGACAGATTTTGTCCTCTTGTTCCACCAATCAAGGTTGTTGTTTCTTTGTTAATCTTAATCAACCCTGTAAAATATGTTTATTCCTATAATATAAATGTAAAGAAGTAAAAATAAATAAAAACGACGTGATAACTGTAAGCTTGACTGTGTGACTGTAAGCTTGACTGTGACTTCTTTATGGAGTTTGTTTGTTGTACTTGGATGCCTTATTATTATTATCACTGGGGCCACATTCACATCTTTATCATCCAGAGACTGACACAAGACCACTACCTCGGTGGTAGGTAACGGTAACCCTCAGCATTGCTCATGGAAGGAGCAGGAGGGAGTTATAGAAGGTGTTATTATTTTTTTATTGTACCAGCTTTTGTGCTTGGGTGTCAGAGGTTCTACTTCCATCTGCGTAACACTATTCTGTCAATGTATTCCTGACTCTCCATAAATGCATCATGATTAGTGTAAATACTGTGTGTGTGTAAAAGATCTTATGGGTGTTGTGTGTCTGGGGTTCACGTTCTGTAGGAGGAGGAAGATAAGACATCGCTTTACTTGTGACCTTCCAAGAGCGGAACTCGTGGACGTCTTCCCCGAACCGCTGTCAGAGACTCACTCAGGTGTTGTGAGCTGTGTCTTTTTCCCACGGCAATGGGTAAATCCATAGCTGGTGGCTCCTCCCACCTTCCTGTTGATTGGCCCGTAGCGGCCACCACCCCCACGAAGAGATTTAGCTGGTGGAGGATGACTATCGCCCCGCCCACCCCTCTGCAATGATTGGCGTTTGGCGGAAGTCACCGTTACCTATTGGCCAATCGGGAGAGAGATGAGTCATAGGGATATCTTTAACGGCGTAGAACTCGTGACGGTCAAGAGTTTTAACATTGGGTCGTAGAGAGCGCCACTGCGCTGTTGGTGGTACACACACACACACACACACACACACATGTACGCTGTGACATCTACTAACCCAGTATCTATCACAATCACACTTCTAAGCCCTGTAGTCTATCGAATTATTAACAACTTCTGTCTCTAATAATGATCCTTGTCCTAACAGAACCTTATTTACGATCCTCTTTGTTTTTTTTCCTACCACAATTTCCATTATCTACCATAATCCCATCGTTCATCACAATCTAATCACCCATCATTGATTTAATCCATTACCCAATACAACTTAATCCCATCATCTACCATTTACAATCCCATCTGGTCTACTACAATCCACCACTACAATCCTCATTACCTACCACAATCCACAATCCCATCTTACCACATTTTTAATCCCATCATCTACCATAACCATCGTCTACCACAATCCCATTACCTACTACAACTCTAACCTATCATCTACCACAATCCCATCGTTTATCATAACCATCACCACCATAACCCATTACCTACCATCAATCCTATCATCTACTAATCCCATCATTTACCACAATCCCATTGTCTACCACAATCTATCACCACCAAATCCCATCATTTACCACAATCCTATTGTCTACCGATAATCTTATCACCTAACAAAATCCTGTACCACAATCACCTACCATAATCCTATCATCTACCACAATATCACCTCCTACCACAATCCCGGTTAACCATAATCTCTATCTCCTACCACAATCCATGTACCAACCACAATCCCATCTACCGCAATTCCATCACCTACCACAATCCCATGCCAACAATTATAATGTTATGACAGGTTAGGTTCTACCACCATTACTACTACCACAATCACCACATCACTACAACAATATGAAGACTACTATCATCTCTACTACTAGCATCACCACCATCCTCATTAGCCATCACAACCATCCTATTTATCTACCACAATCACCACCATTACCTACCACAATCACCACCATTCTCCATAATAACCACCATTACTTAACACAATCACCACCATTACCTACCACAATCACCACCATTAACAACCACAATCACCACATCAATACCGACCACAATCACCAATTATCTCCACAACCACCATAATTCCCCACAATCACCACTCAACAACAATATCACCACCATTACCTACCACAACCACCATCATTAGCAACCACAATCACCACCATTACCTACCACAATCACCACCAATACGAACTTCAATCAGTGCCATCACCTACCACAACCACCACCATTACCTACCACAATCACCACCACCCAACAAACAACTTCACCACTGACCAGGTGTACAAAGATGGGTGTTGGTGGCTCAACAGGTTGCTTACACCCTCCCTCCCTCCCTCCCTCCCTCCGCTTCACATAAACACACCTCAGCATAAGCGAAACGCCCTCCAGCATAACGCCCCTCCCCCACACACCTGGCCACGTGCGGCACACAGCACTCATGAGCGTACAGCAGAAAGGGCAAAGGAGCGAGGCCTCAGTGGCTCAGATCTACGTTGGCCATGAGCTATAATGACGGCAGGCTCCTGACCACCGCTAGTGAGAGTGTGTTTTGTATGTCCTGCCTTCTATCAGCGCCCAGCTAGTGTGTATTGGTTATATTTCACATTAGATGTCTTTATCTACTGCTGGAGGATTCACCTCACTGTTGGGTCTGTTGATAATTTGGCTATGGGAGAAGGTGCGCTGAGGATTTTAGTGCAGAGAAGTCTGCCTGTAGGAGGAGCGGCAGGAGTTCCTGGAAGGTGTGGGTCAGCGAGAGCGAGGAGTCAGGCAGGAGTTATTAAGTGAGCAGCCCGCACCGCCGCCTGTCATATCACCTCTCTGGGTGCTTCTCACACCAACACGCGCTGCGCACACCAGTCCACCCACCATGCCACCCTACAGACGTCTGCCGGACATTGCAATATATAGTGAACGTGCATGTGAGAAGTCATGGCGTGGAGTCCTGATACTACTGTGCTGATCTTCACCCTTTGGTCACCCTGGACTTGATAGTCATTCAGTCCGCAGACCTTCGGGCGGACAACAAGTACAGCCTCACAGCGAACAGTTGCAGCACTGCACCACCAACACCACTCAATATCATTACCAACGCACCAGCAGCAGTATCAGATGTTTGACACTCAGGTGGGATTCAATAAGACTTTACTGATATGTTCAGTGACTATCTGTTGTCCCTGGGTGGGGGAGTTGGCTACAGAAGGCTGTAGGGTCAGGCTCTCACCCATGAGCTGCAACATTGGGGGTAAGCCCTCACTCAGACCTCTGTCGCCACACCAGCCTTGCTGACGGGAGATGGAGGAAGAGTTGCACTGCCGCACACCTCAACAACTACGGCCCATTGGCTATGCTGCCTCTAGAGACAGGAACAATGTTGCATGATAATCTCAACACTAGCTTTGACGCCATTTACGAGCCAGTGTTCGACACCAGTTACGACTCGCCCTCAGCAGGGTACGCCTCACCCTACGTCGAGCCGCCCTGTGACTCACCCCGGCAGCCTGGTGCCACCAGCAGCTCATGAGCCCACCATGCAGCAGCCGGAGCAGAGGACGATGAGCAGCAGCAGCAGCAGTTGTGTCCTTCTGTATTACATCAAATTTCTTTATGTAGTAGTGTAGACCACACCATGGTGGTCTACACTCAGTCTCTGAAGGCGGAAATATATATCCGGTGTTATACAAACTCCACACCACAGGAAAAATACTGTTACCCCAACTAACTTTGTCACTTTTAAAGAGGAAAATGCTAACAGGATCCTCTTCTGTCCACAACTAACAGTACCACAACACAAAAGCTAGACGCACTAAATACATCATACAATCTAAGCTATAAACTATTAAGAGATCAGGTGAGTGTGTGCGGGCCGATGATTGCAGCTTCAGCTACCTGAGGTGAGGCAGGAAGCTCGCCCTCACCAAGTAAACCAACACTAATGTGTTAACTCATCAAGCAGCGGTACACATCACCCACTTAACATAACTAATCACAATATTAATTAGTCGTATGATGTTTGTCACTTCACTATGAGGGCTGACGGTCACCAGTACCTGTAGCGGTATTTCATGGGGACACCGCAAGGGTCACGTCAATTCTGCATTGAAACATCATATTATTAAGTATTCTCCAATGCCCTTTTCTCTTATTATTATCACGGCAATGTACTATCTCGTAATACTTATAAGGGTATGAGAAGATCCAACAGCTTTGTCTTTTTATAATATCGTATTGCTTTGTGTTGAAGGGCAGGGCAAGTATCCCAGGGTCAGACCATCCTTACCCCTGAAGCCGTGTTGTCGAGGGTAATTCCCGGATCGCTCTTGGCTCACAGACCGTTCAGAGACTCACTTCACTTGTATCAATTCTGCATCCGCTAACCCAACGAAATGTTCAATCCCAGTATTATCCAGATGACTAACAGAGTTTAGAAATTAAATAATGAAGACATAATAAGTGAGTAAAATAATTAAGGTATACAGTAAGAGACGAGATGCTGTGTGTGGACTGAATGCAAATTGAAAGTTTAAGCGAATGAAAAGAAAACGAGAATATTTGATGGGTAACTGCAGGGCTGGAGGGTCGTCATTATGAACCGTCGCAATCACCACCACCACCACCACCTGCAGGTCATCCACGCCATTCATTCAGTGGGAGCGGCCCATATGTGTTCACCCCCCAACCTACTCAAACTCTCTCGCTCTCTCTCTCTCTCTCTTTATCTAACTCTCTCGCTCGCTTTCTCTCTCTCTCAGCCTCCTATGTCTGTTACTAACCTTTCTACTCATTTCTACGCCTTTCACTCTTATTCCTACACTTTGGTATTGTTTCATTGAGACAGCATCAATAAACAGTTGCTTCGTAATCAGTAACCAGGTGATAACGCGTTTGACTTTCCCCAACCCATCCCAACACTTCTAACCCACCCTAGCCCACTCCTTCCTTCCATTACCTCACTATCCATCCATCCATCTTTCTCAATCCCTGTAATCCATCACGCCCACACTACATTGTGGTCTCTCCTTCACACACCAACACGGCCATCTTCCCCCACACCCCCAACCCTCCCCACCCCCTCACACCCCAACCCTCCCTCCTCCTCTCAGCTCTTCCCCACAAACACCTACTTATCCTCCCCACCCACCTACCCACCCACCCAGCCCACCCTCTCCCTGCACACACACTGCCCTTTATAATACCTACGTCTCACCTCTTCTTCGTAACAAATATTACTCAATTGTTTTACCGTTGGCTAACAATTTTGCTCCTAGTTTATTACACACACACACACACACACACACACACACACACACACACAGTTGAGATTCACTGCCTGAGACTTACACTATACTGCTGGCTGAGAAGATAACAATGATAACAACAAACATTTCCTGGAAACACTGTTATCTTTTGTGATAACAGCTATTGTTGTTGCTTATTGGAGAGGGAGGGAGGAATTGGTTCTTCACCCAACCATCCATCCTCATTTTCTCTCTCCCACACTTTCTCTTAATCACTTTCTCTCCTCCTTTCCCCTCTCCCACCCATATCTCCCTCCTTACTCTCTCCCTTACTCCCCACCTCCTTTCCTCCCTCCCCAGTTATCTCTCACCTTATCGATGAATGACAGTAGGTGCGCCAGGTGAGGTAATCAGGCAGTGTTGATAGAGACTGTGTGTGTGTGTGTGTGTACCTGTGGTGACTACATACATACATACATACCTTATGAGGATCACAGACTAACATACTGTACAAGGATGAGTGAGGGGGAGGAGGAATACCACTTGTGTCTCATCGTATACGTTCGCACGCCCACACTGCCCTACGCCCACACATTGTCCTATAAATACCGCCTAATTTTATCCCAGCCGCCCCAAATAGCTGATTACCGCCACGGCTGCTTCAGGCACTTAAATAAATATTCTCTACATCTACATTGCCGGCACACACACACACACACACACACACACACACACACACACACACACAGTCTCTCTCTACACGTTAGCCAACACTGAGAACATATACACATTTACCCATTGGTTCAGATTTCCAACTAAGACATGTTTAAACCCACGATTCTCCCAGAACTATCATTCGGTATCTTTTTAGTGGGACACACACACACACACACACACAAATGTCTGGCAGGAATCTCAACATGATGCAATGAACGTGAAGGACAAAAGACGACTGTGTGTGTGTGTGTGTCATAGTGCCTCACCAATTCACCTAATAATTTATACATTTTAATTGTTAACTTTTGACTTTTAGGAAATAATACATAGATCAAATCCAGGTTCTCTTGTCTTTATAGATCTACCCATCATATTCACATCACCTGGGCCAGGTGTTTTGATTCCACTGTAACACATAAATACATACGTTTTGGTTTGTTGTGATATCACATCCTCTGAGGGAGACTGTCTGTCACCAGAACGATCAGTCGGGTTTTTGATTCCTAATGTTGTTGTCCTGCAGGATGTAATCAGCAGGCGACAGCTGGTGAATTCCGGCGTAAAGTTGGTAACAAGTCAGGCTCTACTCAGGGAAGCACCACATCTTCACAACAATCAGTTCCCCCAGGAACGAGAGAGGAGACGTAATCAAACTGGAAGGAGATTCACAAGACGACCAGATCGAGGGTGACCCGTACACGATTCTTGGCCCACTGTGTAGCAAGCTCGCCACCCAAGGCTCAGGTCAAATCCAGTTGTGGCAGTTCCTCCTGGAGCTGCTCTTAGAACCCGCCAACGCCGCCGTCATCACCTGGGAGGGCACGGCCGGGGAGTTCAAGATCCTGGACCCAGACGAAGTAGCGAAACGATGGGGTGAGAGGAAGTCCAAACCTAACATGAACTACGGCGCTCTCCCGCCCTCAGATACTATTATGACAGGAACCTCATGA